TGGGGGGACATCCTAAATGTTCCAAAATCTGCCATAGACCTTTTCTGTTCACAGTATCGAAAGCCTTGGTGAGGTCAACAAAGGTTACATAGAGACCTTTGTTCTGTTCCCTACACTTCTCTTGCAGTTGTCTGAGAACAAATACCATGTCTGTGGTACTCCTGTTGGCTCTGAAACCACATTGGTTTTCAGGTAGAATTCCTTCTGCTATAGTGGGTATTAGTCTGTTCAAAAGTATTCTTGCCAGGATTTTGCCAGCAATGGAGAGCAGAGCAATACCACAGTAATTTGAGCAGTCTGATTTAACTCCTTTCTTCTTATACAAGGTGATGATGACTGCATCTCGAAGGTCTGATGGTAGTTCACCTAGTTCCCAACAGTGCACCACAAACTCGTGAAATTTAGCATGGAGTGCAAGGCCCCCATGTTTCCAGAGTTCAGGTGGAATTCCATCAACCCCAACTGCCTTGACAATTTTCACCTGTTGTATGGTTTTAAGAGTTTATCCCAGAGTGGGGACAATATCCAATTCATTCTTCACCAGTTGCTGTGTGATGGATTTGAATTGCTGAGTTTTGAACTACACGGTTAGTACTGAAAAGAGTCTGAAAGTGTTCAGACCATCTATTCAAGATGGAAGTGTTATATCTCAGGAGCGTTTGACCATCTGCGCTGAGTAGGGGGCTTTGGACCTGGTATGTAGGCCCGTATGCTGTTTTCAGGGCCTCATAGAATCCTCTGTGATCACCTGTATCTGCGCATAATTGAGTTTTTTCAGCTAGATTGATCCACCACTTGTTCTGGATGTCACGGAGTTTCTGTTGGAGCTTGCTGCATGCAAGACGTAAGGCTGTTTTTCTTGCGTGACAGGATGGCAGTGCAAGGTGTGCTTGGTGAGCAGATATCTTTTTCCTCAACAATTCCTGGATCTCTTGATTGTTTTCATTAAACCAGTCCTTGTTCTTCTTGAAGGAGAACCCTAAGGAATCTTCAGAGGACTGCAGGATACTGGTTTTTAATATGGTACCAAAGTGTTTCAGGAGAGGCATCTATAGAATCTGTGGAATGGTTTTTGAGCCTAGTTTGAAGATTTGCCTGGAATCTGTCTCTCACTGCAGCTGATTGGAGATTGTTAACTTGGAGTCTCCTCCTTGGGATTCTGCCCCTTTTAGGTTTGAATTTAAGATTGAAGTTAAGTTTACAGTGCACAAACCGATGGTCTGTTTGGCATTCTGCACTAGGCATCACGCAAGTATGGTGGACATCGCGGACATCTCTTTGTCGCACCAAGACATAATCGATGAGGTGCCAATGCTTAGATCTGGGATGCATCCAGGTTGTCTTCAGACTTTTTTTCTGTTGAAAGTCAGTATTTGTGATGGTGAACTGTTGCTCTGCACAGAATTCTAGCAGAAGGCGACCATTATCGTTGCAGTTTCCAACACCATGCTTGCCTAATACTCCTTTCCAGGCTTCAATGTTCTTTCCTGCTCTGGCATTGAAATCACCAAGGATAATGATCTTATCATCTGCAGGCACCTTTTGGGTAAGGTGGCACAGGTCCGTGTATAATTTATCTTTTTCAACAGGGTCAGTTTGGAGAGTATCTCATTTTGAGATACATCATAGTGAAAACCCAGAAACTATGCTTGTATGTATTGGTAAAGGTTACACTTCCATAAGAACTTCTTGTGATTTTGTATTTGTCGATAATCTTACTGTATATACAAGTAATCACTCTAATATATGTGCTTGTAACTTTGTTGACATTATGGGACGTGATTTTAGTTATTCAGTTCCTTTTATAGCTTATCAATTGCTACAATCTAGTTATACTCTGATTCAATGTCACCTTGATAAGAAAAACACTACAACATGGAGACCTAAAGCATGTGCTGAAGCAAGTTCAAGAAAATGGACAAAGGACTCTGATTACTATCCATCATGATATGAAGAAAATACATCATGTTTTGGAAAAAGTCAATAAAGATGCAGATTGGTGATGGGACACCCTTTTTGGATGGTCACCAACTGCTACAGGAATTCTCAACAGAGCACTTCACCCTGTTGTGTTATTGGTATTAACCCTTCCACTTTTTTTTTTTATAATTATATTGTATGTTAAAGTTTGGGTTATTATGAAGCCTATCGACTACTCCCATTAATATTAGATAATCCATATATGACCGAATGGATTACACAGACTCCTAACTTGATGGACAGAAATCAGTTTATTCCCCCATGACTCAGGGTTTTTATATCATTCACTTTTAGCTGGGAGTGGTTAAGCAAATTACAACAGAGCACAGCTGCAAGTCACACATCCATCACTCTCTCAGGTCAACCTATCACACAGACACATCACACATAGAAATCTTGGAGTTTCAAGTTACCCCTTTTATACCCACATATGATAAGAATGCAAACAGGATAGTTCAGCTTGTTTCTGGGCAGTAAATCACAGCCTAGAGAAAACAACACAAGGTCATCTTAGACATTTCTCAGGCCTCTCTCTTCTTGCTCTCACACTGGCTGCCACATCCATGCGATACAAATGTGTGAAACACTAACTTCATTTGGATATTGTGAAGCTTGAGTGACTATAGTCACAGGATGGATTATGTGGGAAAATGACTGGGGTAAAATTGGAGAAAACTGGGAAGTTATAATCACATTCTAACAGAAGTTATAATGGTACAGAAATTATAGAGTGAAATGCAGTTGCTACTCCCTGGATGGAATGCGGTTGGCATGCATGGAATCTGTTCCACATAGTTCCCCACACAACACATCCTGCAACCTTCAGCATATGCTAAGGGTGGAGCAGAGTGGAGACACCAGGACCAGGCTCTGTTGAAATCCTTGCAGGGAGGGGAATTCAATAGTACACTGTAGCCTATAAACTGCACAGCAACTCTCAACCAAGGGAGAGAGGAGATGTCTTGCTGCTGAACCAGCAACAGTGGTGAAATTGCTCTCCTCGGGTGTACTTGGTTCATTACAATCTCATGGTAATACTAACACACACCTCCATCCCAAAATTATCTGCCTCCAAGGTACACCCACCTCTCACTGGGCATGCGCTCTAGATTTTATTGACTATGTCTTTAAGAGAGAAGTGAGAGTATTTTACACCAATCAGTAAGGTATGTGTGACTAGAGCCACTCAAACTCCACCTAAAGGTAAAGAAATAGTATAAAAATGAGTCAAGGATGGGGAGAAGTCAGGGAAGACTCCATCATAACTACTGGGATCAGTCGACATGTTGAACCTGTCTCTCCCCCATAGGGACACCTATTGGGTAAACTTTTGTTAGTGATTAGAGCTTGTCTGTGTACTGCTTTGAATATGTTTTTGCTGTCAGTTACTATCAGTGGCAGTCTCTGAACCTTAACCTGTCACAGTCTTCTATTATCAGTCTGTTGCCTTAAAAAGAGCATGGAGAAAAAGACTCCAGACCAATTTAATGTATAAGATAAAGAGAGTACGTCCTTTAATCAACCTACAGACCCAGAGGAATACACGTGCCTCTAGACAGTGGTTCTATCATTTTCTAATAAGGTCCACGCAATCCCAGATCTATCCACCCCCCAGTTCTGCCCAGTTCTGCCCCCCCGACACACCCCTTCGGGAATTGGGTTTGGGATCTTTGGGACCCCTTCTTCCTCATCTTCATCTTCTTCACATCACGTATAGTTCTTGGAGCTCCTCCAAAGTTCTGGGTTTGAAGGTCACTGTGTCTGTGTGATATCTTCTGATCCAGGTGTCCTATTTAGAACAACTGGGACCAGTTCATCACTGTGTGGGTGTAACTCAGACTGTGTATTCTATACCCTCTATATCATTTCCCAGAAACTGTTAGCAATAGACCATTTGCAGCAGATGCCCAGAGCACAGTTGACCCCTCAGGCTATAAACCTGCACACCCACACTCACAATCACCCATTGTGGAACTCCCCGCTTTGGGGGAGGTACTGGGCATTCCTGCCCCAACCTGAGGGTATATAATATTGGGGTCTTGGGACTTTTGGTACCACTCGTGGGATCCAGAGGAGGACCAGAACCTCGACTGGACTGTGACCACCATTCTCTACCAGACTGCGACCATCACTCGCACCAACAGGTTTTTCCTCTCCTTTTAGTTTCGGACTCAGGGGACCATGTGGGGCTCAGCACGGGGGTCAACAAACACCACTCTGTTCGTGCCCCAGGGTGCTGGGTTATACATCTGGGTTTTGTAGGTTAAAACCAATTGTTTGTCTATATAATTGTATTTATTGTATTATTTTTATGAAATTGTAACTCTGACTTATAATCTCTTTTGAGTTGGGTTCATTTCTCCTGCCGGTTTACCTTTAAACCAGCACACCAGGCTTTTCTACAATTCTACCTTGAAAAGAAGACTAAACATGCTAACGGAATTTAGAGGGATTGAAATGGAATGGGATAATAGGGTTGGGTATGTGTAAACATTATACTACAGAGTAAGGGATATAATACAGCTACATTAAAATCTACATTCACTACACAACTACTTCTAAAATCTACAAAAGTTAAAAAATCCAAAAAGCTCTGAGGCATCAGTCTGTTAATAAAGTGTGTATTTCCGTAAACTGTTTAGCATGAGTCCTTCAAGGGCCCCAGTAGCCACCCACAGAGGGTAACATACTTGAAAAAAACTGATAATATACCAACCAGGATCAGAGACATCCAGGAAGGGGTCTCATTTTCTAAATTGAAATAAAGGATTCAACTCTGATACACTGTCAGTGCATGTCCCTGAACAGGTTAGTCAAACTGCCCTCTGATACAGTGCAGTCCCCATAACAGGATGCTGACACACTGGTTAGACACAAGGGTCTCATCTTCCTTGGGGCATTGACAGACTGATCAAACATAAAGGGTTCAAGAAACCCCCCCTTTCACATGGCAACAACATTTACCTTCCAGAGCAACCACTACACATACTGAAGCCTTGCTTCCCAGGAAGTGACTGGACATCGCTTGCTGATGGGTAGCAGAGAATGAAATCTTTGGGGTTTTCCTTTACTGTGGGAGGCGTGTCCAGGGCACAGGGTACCTGCCGGGGCAGAGGAACCCAGGGGAGCATGCACCGACATAGGTAACTTTATTGGCTAGAGAAGTCACATGGTGTTAAAGGATAAAACAGTGCCGATTTTAAAATAAAGTCTCTTTGTTCATCATCACACAAGGAGTGTGTTTTTCCTTGTTATATAAGGACTTTGCGTCCCCTACACTTTACTTTGCTTTTGCTTTAGTAAACTTCCTCTATCTCAACCTACAAGGTATTTTTTCCATCTTATTTTCTTCCCCTGTCTTGCTGAGGAGGGGAGTGATAGAGCAGCTTGGTGGGCACCTGGCATCCAGCCATGGTCAACCCAGCACTTAATATCCTTTTTTTTTTATAACTTTATGTAATTACCATGCTATGAAATGTGAGATTTTGTAATGCAGAATGATGAGTACAAATATGTTCCAGCTATGTCTGAAGAGGCTTTGAGGTATAAGAGGAATAAAAACTGAAGCTGTAGTTGAGTGCCTTTTCAAAACAGCAGTGTTTTATTTGGCATTAAAATACCACAATTGTATAATGCAGATAGGCAAAAAGTATGGGCGAAATCATAGAGCGCAGGTGTATAAATATGACAAGGTTGACCTAACGGTACTACTTTATAAATGTATGAATGTCTGTTTCAATAGTTTAATTTTATAGAGGATGGTGCAAGCATCTTAAACTGCTCAAGTGACTAGAGTAGGGATAAGCAGCTTTAACTGTGAAAATAGGCTTTTATTCAGAAGCTTACACCAATTAGTCCAGTATTGAACAGAGTAAAAAGTTTTCTAAATGCTTTCTAATCTACTGTTTTGTAGTAAATATTTCTGGTGTATGGTTAGTCACTTGGTGGTGCATGCTATCTTTAGTGATAAAATACTAAACTTTTACAGTTGGTTTTTCTTCCAGCATTTTATTTAATTTTAAGGGGAATGCTCAAACTTCAATTTTTCTAAAAAAGCTTTCTCCCCTGGTCCTGGGCAAAGAGGAAGGAGATGGGTTCCTCCCTCAGTTGTGATGGGTGGACCATGATCCCAGTGTTCTCTGCGGTCATGCATGCCTCCTAGCCCCATGCCAATGGGGCTCGAGGTGGTCAGCTTCACTTCACGGGGTGACTGGTGGTCGCTGTTCGTCAGGTGGGCACAGGGAGCAGTGGGAGTTGACTTATCATTTCTGCCTGGGTCAGGTAGAGCTGTGTTCTACCCTGGCAGTCTTGCACCCTGCAGTGCAGAAGGTGGTACTTCCCTGCGTAGTGTGCCTTCTATTGGCTTGGCGGGCACTACCTGGTAGCCCCACCAGTGGAAGGTGTGGACTGCCTGTGGCGTTGTTGGAGTTTCGGGGTCCATTGTTGAGGGGACCCAGGGGTCAAGTGCTTCCAATACGATGCTTTTTACTGCAAAGAAGTTAAATCTGGAGAAGGTTGTCATAGCAGTCTGAATGGAACTAGTGTCAAATTTCTATTATATTAATATATGCATCCATATGTGAGTCTTGTCAGGTTTTAACATAAGAAACGGTAATATAGAGTTTTACCTACAGCCAGGCATTTCACTTGCATCTTAGGTTCCATAACACTCTTGGTTCCATTTTCACAATAAAAATGACAGTATATTTTTATTTCTTAATGGTTGAGGACATGGTTAATGAGGGGTTTTGATGCTGGGTGTTAAGACAAAGAATACCTTTACCTCAAGACATAAAAGCTGTTGCTGATCTCTGTAATTTTCATGTCTGTCTGCCATATGCATGTCTTTCCTTCATCCCTGTCTTTAGTTATGTGTCGGGGTCGACAGCGGGTCTGCCAGCACCTTGGCACATACTGACGAAGCAATCGATGTTGACCAGATCAAAGTATACCCCTGAGATGGACTGAAAGACAGGACTGAGAATGGAGGCCCTGATCCCGACAACATACTGATGCATCCTGAGGAAACTGTCCCGTGGGAACAAAGAACACTGTCTCATGAGAACAGGAGCATTGTCTCATGAGAACAGGGACCTGTTTTGAACGAGAGTGGTTGGGAAAAACATCAACATGAGAGAAAAATAAGAGCAGGTGCTTGGGACTGTTGTGGGAAAGAACTGGGCTGTTTTGAGAAAGAACAAACTTGTTGTGAGAAAGTAGAGCTTAGAAAATGCACCTATTAGATGTAAGAATTCTGGTGTGAAAGTTTGAACTGTCCTATCCGTGTGAATTACGTGTGTGCAAAAACTGTACTTAAGGGGCTGCGAAAGCAGCCCCGGCGTTCCGCTTTTTCCTTGGAATAAACTTTGCTGGAACCTTTTTTCATGTCGCATGGTCGTTCCTACCTCGACATCTGGAGACGCCGATGTGATTGCAACGTTGAAGACGGATTTATCTCCAACTGCGGAGTTGTCTTGACTTCTCTCCCAGAGGGAGAAAGAGCAGAAGATTTTCTCTCCTAGAGAGAGATTGGACCTGTGGGGCGAGGCACAGGGGGAACGGAGCCTGGTGTAACTGGAGAGCGGGGCTGGTTCCCGCCAAAGGTCCAGACCTGAACTTTTTCGAACCCTCATTAGGTAAGTTAACGGGGGTGCCATCGGGGACTATATTTTAACAATGGGACAACATATAACGAAGGAGGAAAGCGTGGTTCTGTCCACATGGAAATCCCTCCTTAACCGAAAGAATGTCAAGGTTACTGACTTTGCTTTGCGGCGCGTGTTGTTGTGGTGCAGAGAAGCAGGGTTTTGAGGCCACATCTAGTACTGCGTTTAGTGTATCTGCATGGTAAAAGGTCGGTGATAAGCTATGGGATGAAATATCTAAGGGATCGAAAGACGCGAATGATCTAGCAGTTACCTGGCGTTTGCTGTTTGATACTCTGAAAGAGTGACAGGCAGAACAGTAGACAGGAGAAAATGAAACTAAGTCAACTACAGTACAGACTGCCCCAAATTCCAAGGAAGGGAGCTCAACTGATACTATAAAAGAACAGTCAGAGTCCTTGAAAAGTTCAGAGGGAGACTCAGCTGGCAGCAATCCAGGCCATTTGCAGGTTTCGCAGTGCTCGGAAGGAGGTTTGATTAATAGCGAAAAAGACACTAAGTCAAGTCGTAAATATCCTACGCCTAACGAGCAACTAGTTGACAGCAAACATGAGTCTAAGCCGAGTCGTAAATATCCCACACCTGACGAACAACTAAAAATGCCTCAGCATTGGACATCCCCAACAGATATCGCCCCGTCTCTCTATAGGACCCCTGGGCAGCAGCTAGCAGAGTTTGAAGCTCAGGACAAATGCCCGGAGCCCTCTGCTTCTCATAGTGCTCAGGATGATCCACTTCATACTGCATTGCCTAGTAGTGATGAGGATGAGGAGGCTGTAGTTAGTCATCCTGTCACTGATAACACGGAGAGAGCTGCCTGCCAGTCCTCTAGCACTGTTCGGAAGAAAGGAGCTGCTTCTCGGCCCCTTCGGAAAGCAACAGAGCCGTGGACTCTGCCCCCTGTAACCGTTACTGTGTTGCCTAGACATCCAGGTAAATTTTGGAATCAGGTAAAACAAAGGGCAGCAGAAATAGGGGACTGGAATCTGCTGGACAGGATTGGTTATCCTTCTGAGACGTGTGACGCAGTTGCGTCTACAGGTCCTGAGGCTTTCCCGGTTTTCAAGGCAGTACCAGGCTCCGGAAGACAGGATGAACACACTCCATTTGCATGGAAAGTGGTGCAAGATTTGCAGATGTGTACCTCTAAATACGGGATAAATTCTGCAGAGGTGATGAGACTGATAAGGGTGATAAATACCGATCTATTAGCACCCTATGATATTTCACATCTTGCACAAATTCTGTTTCAACCGATTCAATATCAAGTATTCCTAGCAAATTGGAGAAAGCTCGCTGAGAGAGCAGCACTAGATAACATGCAGTTGCCTCAAGGAGACCCGAGAAGAGGGGTTGACGTTGATGCATTGATGGGAATGGGTCCAGTTTTTTCAAACCCTCAAGTTCAAGCTCAGTGGCCCCCTGCAGTGCTAGAGCAATGCCAGCGTATGGGAATGTCAGCACTCATACAAACAATGGAGTTAGCAGCTCCAAAGCCTAAGTACACCACAGTGAAACAGGGGGTTAAGGAACCGTTCCTGCAATTTGTAGAACGCATAACCACCTCACTGGAAAAGCAGGTAGATGATGAAGAACTCAGACAAAGGCTCTGCCTGGAGTTAGCTAAAGATAATGCTAATGAGGATTGCCAAAGAATAATAGAGGCAATGCCCGGGAATCCATCTATCCCTGAAATGGTGGCAGCATGCTCTAAGGTGGGATCGGTGGCTCACAAAATGACTGTTGTCCTTCGACCTAATCCCAAATGCCATGGGTGTGGAAAGCAAGGACATTTTAAGGCTGAATGCCCAGTCAAGCAAAAGGGGAACAAGCAGAAAAATAAGACAACAGAGGCAGAAGTTACTTGTAGCCGATGTGGAAAGGCAGGGCACTTTTCTAAAGTGTGTCGATCAAAATATCATGCCAATGGACAGTTGTTGCAGGGAAACTGGAAAAGGAGCGCGATGAGGCGCGCGGGGACACAAGTACTTCATCCACCGAATCCGTACATGAGAACAGCCCCGATGGTTTATCCCTCTGCGATCGCCTCACCGGAAAAACCCGTGGATCAGCAGGCATGGATGTATCCACAGCCGACACAATAACTTTAACAACAAGAGATGTTGTCACGGTGCCACTAGACGCTCATGGTCCAATAGGAAAAGGGTTTAGTGCACTGTTAATTGGACGATCTAGCAGTATCATAACTGGGTTAGATGTTCGTGTGGGTGTCATTGATGTTGACTATACAGGGCAGATTTCTGCAATGGTGTTTACCTCTTATCCTCCAGTGACTATACCAAAAGGGACTCGCATTGCTCAGTTTGTGCCTTTTGTGAGTTGTGTTCCTAGAACAGAGCAACGAGAACTGCAGTCTGGAGGATTCGGATTGACCAGACCACCTCAAATCTTCTGGTACCAAACTGTTTCTGCACAACGACCGCAGATGACTTGCACCATCTACAACGAGACCTGTACGCCATCCTCAATAAAGGTTACGGGTTTATTGGATACTGGAGCGGATGTTACCATCATCTCTCAACATTCCTGGCTCCTGTCCTGGCCACTTGTAAACACAGGGATGGGGGTGGTTGGACTGGGAGGGACTGCTCAAAGCCATGTGTCTCAGTCACCTCTGGCAATCGTCAACTCTGAAGGGCAGAGAGCCACTGTAAAGCCTTATGTCACTACAGTGCCCCTGACTCTTTGGGGGAGAGATTGCTTGGAGCAATGGGGGGTGAAAATTACAACGGATTTTTAACAGGGGCCACTGTCTTGCAGGGTGTTCATCAACCTACACTTGCTTTAACTTGGTTGACATGTTCTCCAGTGTAGGTTCCTCAGTGGCCCCTGCCAATAGAAAAATTGCAGGTCCTGCAACAGTTAGTGGCAGAACAGTTTGCTGCTGACCACATTGAACCCTCTCACAGTCCATGGAATACCCCTGTCTTTGTAATAAAAAAGAAATCTGGCAAATGGCGACTTTTGCATGACCTGAGGCAGGTAAATGCTGTAATGGCAACAATGGGAGCCTTACAGCCAGACCTTCCAGCACCATCAATGATTCCTATGGATTGGAACATTGTAGTCATAGATCTAAAAGATTGTTTTTTTACTATTCCATTGGCACCATCTGACAAAGAGAAATTTGCCTTTACTGTTCCATCAATCAATCATACCGAACCATCCAAAAGATACCAGTGGAAGGTGTTGCCCCAGGGCATGAAAAATTCGCCCACGATTTGCCAGTGGTTTGTAGTCCAAACATTGTCATCTGTACGTAAACATTTCCCAGAATGCTATTGTTTTCATTACATGGATGACATATTGCTAGCAGTCAGCAAGGAGGAGTAACTGAGTGAATTAGAAACATTGACTAGACAGTCTCTACAGCAGTTTGGATTGGTCATTTCACCTGAGAAGGTGCAGAGAACGGAACCTTGGAAGTATTTGGGCCTCATAGTCACTGCTCGTAGAGTGATGCCACAACCCGTCAAACTTAACATTGATGTACAAACCCTAACGGATGTACAAAAATTGATGGGATCTTTAAATTGGGTTAGACCTTATCTCGGTCTTACAAATACTCAGTTGCGACCCTTGTTAGAGTTGCTCAAACATTCTGCCAATCCTTTGGAACCTAGAACACTGAACTCTGAGGCAGTTCAAGCAGTCCAGAAAGTAGAATCATTGCTGCAAACTAAATTTGTGTCTCGTATTGACCTAACACAAGTGGTTCAGCTGTTTATTTTTATAGACCATGTGACTCCTTTTGGTGCACTTGTGCAGTGGAATACTGAGTGGACTGACCCTCTGCATATTTTGGAGTGGTTATTTTTACCTTTTAAACCTCACAAAACTGCTCCTGGCCTGTTTGAACTTCTTGCAGAAATAATTATGAAAGCCAGAAAAAGATGCATAGAATTGCTGGGAAGAGATCCAAGTCAAATTGTTGTACCTGTTCAGTCTACATATTTTGAATGGTGCATGGTGCATAAGTATGAACTGCAGGCAGCCATGTCTGACTTTCAGGGACAAGTTTCTTATCATTTACCTTCTCACCCTCTGATTAAATTTTTTCGTGAAGTGCCCGTAGGACAGAAGACATTAAGTCAATCAGAACCGGTTGATGGACTCACAGTTTTCACAGATGGTTCTGGAAAGACAGGTAAAGCCGCTGTAGTCTGGCGTGATGACCACGGCTGGCATGATAAGGTAGTCACACAAGAAAGTTCACCTCAAGTAGTCGAATTGCGAGTTGTAACTGTAGCCTTTCAATTGTTTCCACAACCTGTAAATATTATTACTGATTCTGCTTATGTTGCTAATTTACTTTCTCGTTTAGATCAGACTGTTTTGTCCTCAGTTGACCAACGAAAGCTGTTTACAGTTCTTTTAGAGTTATGGACAACCATACAACAGAAAACTACGCCGTATTTCGTTCTGCATATCCGCAGCCATACTACCTTGCCAGGTTTTTTCACTGAAGGTAACGCCAAGGCAGATGCCCTTGTATCTGCTGTAACCCTGGGCCCTACGCCCAATATACACCAACAGGTTCTCTTATCACATCAGTTTTTTCATCAAAGTAGCACTGGACTGCGACGACAGTTCGGAATAACTCAAACTGCAGCACGCTCTATTGTCGCTACTTGTCCTGACTGTCAGGGAACTTACATTCCAATATATTTTGGGACCAATCTGAGGGGTATTAAAGTTCTAGAAATCTGGTAAACTGATGTCACTCATATTGATGACTTCGGTCGTTTAAAATATGTGCATGTGTCAGTAGATACCTTTTCACATGCTATAGTTGCCACAGCCCATTCTGGAGAAAAGGGAAGTGATGTAATCCGTCATTTTCAGAGTGCTTTTGCTACCCTTGGCATTCCACATGAAGTTAAGACCAATAACGGCCCAGCATATGTTTCGCAAAAGGTAGAAACCTTTTTTGCAACATGGGGTGTAACTCATGTTACCGGTACCCCACATTCTCCAACAGGACAGGCTATTGTAGAGCGTATGCACGGTACCTTGAAAAGACAGTTTCAAAAACAAAAAGGGGGAATGAGTCGGGAGCACCCTCAGGCACTGTTAGATAAAACTGTATATGTACTGAATTTTTTAACTTTTCCTGGTGACTCCTCCTACTCACCTTCCTTTATGCATTTTTCTTCTCTTTCTTCCATGAAGTCATTAGCACGCAATGCTCCAGTGCAGGTTCGGGATTTGGTTTCAGGCCAATGGTCTGGACCTCATGAACTTATAACTTGGGGGAAAGGATATGCTTGTGTCTCCACAGGTGATGGCCCTCGTTGGGTACCTGCCCGGTGTGTTCGTCCTGTGCTTGATGATCCTTCCCGTCAATGGATGGACGGTCCTGCAACCCAAGCAGAATGTGTGGGTGACCCTAGCTGAGATGACCCATCAGGAAACCTTGTGCCTTTCTCTAGTCAACCCAGAGAATCCTTTTTCTACCTGCTTGGTCGGACTACCTCTGGATAAGTGGCCTTGTCCAGAGGTCCCGAAAATCTGCAACAGCTCTGCACCAAAGATCAATGTTGATAACTGGGACTGTATTTATGCATACCTACCTCACGTAACACAAGAACCTCAAGAACTGGAATTGCTAGGCTCAGTGGTCATGGATGCTTGTATAATGTTTAATTATACATATAACTCAAAGAGAAGGGGACAGAATGTGAATGCAACATTGCCTATATATAGAAATGCTACTGCTTGGTGTAATTATACTTCTAAACATATTTCACGATCTTTTAATGTACCTGTTGCCTTACCTAGTGGAGTTTTTCTTATTTGTGGAGATAGAGTATGGGGTGGAATTCCATCCAGACTGAATGGTGGACCACGTAGCTTGGGGAGGCTTACTCTGCTCACTCCTAATCTTACCATGATTCATAATAAAAACCGAGGGAAACGCAGTATTCATCAATTTTCAAAACAATGTGATGATCGGGTAACCTTTTGGGGACCCGGAGAAATTATAGCAGCATCAGCGCTTGCACCTGGGGTTGCAGCAGCAGCAGCATTAAAAAAGTTGACAAACTTAGGATGTTGGTTGAGTAAGCAAACCAATGCTACTTCTATTGCTCTGAGTGGTCTATTAACTGACGTAGATAGTGTTAGGCATGCCACACTGCAGAATAGAGCTGTGATTGATTTTCTGTTGTTAGCACAAGGTCACGGTTGCAATGAGTTTGATGGAATGTGTTGCATGAATTTGTCGGACCATAGTGAATCCATACACAAAAGCATTCAGTTTTTGAAAGAAGGGGTCCGCAAATTACAAGTTGATGATGGATGGGATTGGTTAACTAAGTTGTTTGGTAAATGGGGTTTGTCTGGTTGGTTGTTATCCATCGTAAAAACAGGATTGCTGATTTTGGTAATTATTGTGGTTGTGCTATTAATGATGTCCTGTTTGATCAACCTGTTGCAAAGGGCCCTGCAGCAGACTGTTAAGGTCATCTTTGTAGCACAAATACAAAAAGGGGGAATTGTCGGGGTCGACAGCGGGTCTACCAGCACCTTGGCACATACTGACAAAGCAATCGATGTTGACCAGATCAAAGTATACCCCTGAGATGGATTGAAAGACAGGACTGAGAATGGAGGCCCTGATCCCGACAACATACTGATGCATCCTGAGGAAGCTGTCCCGTGGGAACAGAGAACACTGTCTCATGAGAACAGGAGCATTGTCTCATGAGAACAGGGACCTGTTTTGAACGAGAGTGGTTGGGAAAAACATCAACATGAGAGAAAAATAAGAGCAGGTGCTTGGGACTGTTGTGGGAAAGAACTGGGCTGTTTTGAGAAAGAACAAACTTGTTGTGAGAAAGTAGAGCTTAGAAAATGCACCTATTAGATGTAAGAATTCTGGTGTGAAAGTTTGAACTGTCCTATCCGTGTGAATTACGTGTGTGCAAAAACTGTACTTAAGGGGCTGCGAAAGCAGCCCCGGCGTTCCGCTTTTTCCTTGGAATAAACTTTGCTGGAACCTTTTTTCATGTCGCATGACCATTCCTACCATGACAGTTATGCATGTTGACTGTATTTTAATCTTAAATTGCACTAGTTCTTTGTGATCTGAATGTTGTAATAAATGAAGATAATGCAAAAACTGCTTATGCTTGGATTTTTTTGCGTTTTTTTGTCTAGGGTGACAACTGATTTTTTTTTTTGACTGGACAGTACTGTGATTTGGTTCTGGTTACTAAATACTTTTAGAATATTTATTTCAACTCTTGTTTTCCTCTTAGATACCTCTCAGTTCCAAAGTACTCATTAAGGAGAAGGACTGCATTTTGGTAGCTTGGGAGGGTTTTCAAACACTTTAATTTATGGTCCTTAAAATTAATTAAACACTGCAGATCCTGATTTTTTTTAATTATTTGCTCATTTTTCTTAATTTCCTTTTGGGCTTAATTCAGTTTGTTTCTAACTATCCGTCTAAAATCCTACTGATGTATTGTGTGCTTTTGTCCTCTTTCCTCCTTAACCTACTTCTATCCTCCAACCCAAATAACATAATTATATAACTCCAAAATATTTGAATTATCAATCCTTCACAGATTGTTTTATGTTTGGATCTGTTTTTTCAGGAGATAATTAATTAAAGGTTTGAGATTGTATAATAAATGGTAATTGTATTTTATTAAATTTTAATATAAATTAACATTCAATATCGAATAATGTTTTTTAGGATATTATAAAATTATAAGGGTCCACTGCAATCTTTTGGTTTCTTGCATAAAATTGACAATAGAATTGTATGCATTAAATTCCTATGTGTATTCATGTACCTAATAACTTCTTGAAAAATTGGACCAAAAATTTTGGAGAGCAATATTTTTAAATGCTAACTTTAGCCACTGGATTTTTGTTGTGGTCTTATACCATGAGTTGAAAGGTGTCAAGTATTTCCCCAAATGCATATTTACAGTTTTGTAAATTACTGACACAAGAAAATATTTAGATCAATGTCAACTGTGCATTTATTAAAATTATATTTTACTTAAATGAAATTAAATATATCAACAACAAAATTACATTTTGTGGGTACAGGCAGAGACAATGCCTTAATGCTTTATCTCATATAAAAAATATAATGACAAATCATATTTCTGAGTAGCATTGTTATATCAACTGTTGTGTGCACGTTTTATGTAAACCCAACCTAAATCTTTTCAATAACTTAACTGTACTGACCATCCATACTCTTTAGTTGTGAAGTTAGCTTTCTAAGTGTTCTTGTATAATACATTTCCCACTTTTCTGTTTTAACAAGAACATAAGCTCCACAGTTATGCTTTCTGAGATATATAGGATAGAAAAACCTGACACTTTATTGCAATATTTTGTAAACATTCGGAAAATATTTTTTTCAGACAAAAATACAGTTCCTAATTTCATTTTAAAAATAATAACTTCAGAGATTATTTTGATGGAACAGAGTTTTGTCTTTTCTAATCTGGTTTCACTCTTGACCTGCAGAACTTGTATACTAATGTTGTTGTATCTGAGAATGTGACTTGATTTTTTCCATAGACAGTAGTAATTTTTGTCTATAAAAGATGGCAGAGACAGACTGTTTAAAAAGAACAGTTATGCCATGGACATGACTCTTGACTAAGGGTAATCTGAAACCACATTTTTTCTTTCTGTTTTTCATTTTTGCTCAAAGACACCATCCATGTATTGTCCTGGTTTTCCAGTTGTGTTACCTTTATTTTCACTCATGGTACATAATTCCCAAAGTATATTCATTTTTTGATTTTATTTTTTTCTTTAGGTCTGTAGTGATATCCTGTATAATTTATGCACATGTTAATAATATCCATAGTAAAGCAGTGTAAACCTACCACAGAACTGACACAGACCTCTCTTCTTATTTGAATTTATCTATACCAAGGTCACTAATTGTTGGGATGAAATTAAAAAGACCTGTCTGAATGTGACTCACGTATGTTTCATTCAGTGGGAATCTTTCAGACATACAGTTACAAGGAAAAATCTGTTAAAATGGATTTCTGTATATTTTGAAATGCAGTTACTTGAAATGGAAGGCTGGAAGTGCCCTTTTCTGACTCTGACATAGGGTTTTATTATCTTTTAATTATTATCTTGTTCCATCTTTGTGCCCTTCTCTTGTTTTATGTTCCTAATTTTTTTTTTTTTTGCTTTCTTTAACAGGGCTTCTAAGCCCTAGCTGAAGTTGCTTTCAGCTCAAATATATTTGTTCAGGAATTAATTAAAAAGATGTTGCTTCATTTGGTATTTTTGACTATTGTTCAGTTTTCATGTATGTTTTTTAGAGATTTTGTAGAACTTTGTGTAGTATTGGTGCTTGGTTTGATTTATTTAGGTATGGAACAAACTGGTCTTTCTTGCATCGAACTGGATTCAGAAAGCACAGAGGTTCAACTCTGAGGCATAGACTACATTTCCTATCGGTATAAGGCAACTGCAAGAGAAAAATGTCCTCCTAGTCCCAGAGTAAGTTTGACTCAATACTGGTGTGCTTTTTTAAGGGTATGGTGCTGCCTCAGCCCTTCCCAGATTGGATTCTGAAACAAGAAGCTAGGCCCAAAAGAGTTAACTGAGATCTGGGTCTGCTAAGAAGCCCCCCTAACATCTAATCGGTCTGTGTTACCATGGCTAGTTCTGTGCTGCTTACGGTCTGTGTTACCATGGCTAGTTCTGTGCTGCTTACCGGACCAAAACTTAGAAGAATGCTAGAGGCAATATACAATAGGCCTAGGGGTAATAAATTAGGATAAGGTAAGATAAGGTAGACACTTGAATAGAAGAAATAGGTCTGGAGCCAGGGCTTTCTCCAAGTTTCACTGAGCTAGTCGAGAACAATGGAAAGGTAAAAAGTTTGAAGTGATAAAGAGGAGCAAAGACCCCAGACTCATGGGAGGAAGAGTGAAACCCCTACCAAAACTGAGGGCCAAGAGAAGTACTGCCCCAAGCTCCGTCTGAGCTCCGCCTATACTCCACCTGTTATTAATACGTATAAATAGATGTTGTAATCATATGAATATGCATTTAATCATGTATGAAAATTCTTTTAAAACCCCTGATTTTGTGTGAAACCTTTGAGCAAGGTTTCTGTGGTGTGAACCAAGCTTGCTCCCGACGTCAGCAATAAATACCTTTGCTGCTCAAAAGATCCAAAAGTCTTTGAGCAGTTCTTTAAACTGGATTTTTCAGATTCAATTCTTATACAGAATTTATGGTAATTTTAAATACAATCAAATCTGACATGATGCTCTATATAGAAGAAACATTGAGGATTTCACCATTTGTTCCTTGAAATGGAATTTATTCAGAAATGTACTGTAAAGTAATCCCCCAGAAAATGACAGTTCTGGTATTTCAGGAAATACTTTGTGTTTACATGTTTGTTCAGAAGAGGCACAGTCATAGAATTATAGAATCGACCAGGTTGGAAAAGACCTCCGAGATCATCGAGTCCAACCCTTGATCCAACACTGCCGTGGTTACTAGACCATGGCACTAAGTGCCACATCCAGTCTCATCTTAAAAACCT